TGCCAAAATCGCGGCTCTCCGACCGTTTTTTTGCGAAGTTATGAAAAACTGAACCCTGGCCCTTGGTCACTTGACCTGACCTCATGAGACCTTAAAATCGGGTACCAGTCCCTGCGTCTTGTAACGGCGCACACGCTTGTTTCTTCCGCGACGCTCTAGCTTCATCAGGGGCGAAACGGCGAGGGAAATCGTACCAACCCCCCCCCCCCCCGGCCGGCGCGTATGTAGAAAACCAATAGGTCCGGCGAGGGCTAATGTATCATTGAATGGGAACATGCAACATATGTATATTTGAGCTTGCACCGTGCTCAGAAAGGTTCAAAACAGCCGTTTTCACGACGGTTGACCGAAAGCGCCAAACTTAACCAAATCTCAAGGAACCTACCCTGAAAATTCCATGAACCTGACCCAAATAACCTTAGACCTGTAACCGTTTTTTTTTTTGGGGGGGGGGGACCATGTCAGGGGGGCCATAAAACATGCATCGCACAACCATAGTAAATAGTAAAGTTGGTTCATGTGCTGACCCTTGGTGACCTGACCTGTGACGTCATCGGTGACCCCGGGGTCAATGAAATTGGAGTTCCGTCGACAAATTTGACAGGGCTATCGAACATCGTTTGAATGTTACGGATCCGTCCAGTAGTTTCGGAGATACGGGAGGGGGGCAAAAAAATGCCCCCCCCCCCACCGCGCGGAAGGTGGCCGGGAGGTCCACCGCCTGCCGGGTTGATGAGAGCCTGAATGAGAGAGAATGTTTTTAGGCGAGCTTTTAAGGAATTCAATAAAAACACAAAATGAAATCATGCTACAAATTTCATTGCTTACCACAGGAATGAAATCAGCTAGGAAAGAACAGCAATATTTTAACCAGTAAAACGCCTTTTGGGGCGACCAACGGAGCTAGCGAGAGGGTGGGCCTTGGACAAGCGAATTTGCAAGGGACACCTCCAACTAACTTGTGCACTGCACCCTACTAACCGGTCCCTAGCGATGTGCCAAATTAAAGCGCAATCGGCCCAGCCGTTCTCGAGATCTGGAAGCGGCACCCTGCACGTGCACACGTGCAAAATGGGTCACAACTGACTTTTGCACGGCAACCTACTAACTGGTCCCTAACCATGTACCAAATTTCAGCACAATCGCTTCAGCCGTTCTCGAGATCTGGAATCGACCCCTGCACGTGCGCACGTGCAGCAGCACCCCAACTGTGGCACATGGATATGCATTACCTAGTGGGTGCCTACCTACATACCAACTTTCAGCGCAATCGGCCAAGTAGTTACCAAGATATTGCAACAATTGCAAAACTGACACCTCTTCGTTTTGCACGTGGCACGTGCATAAGCGGTCACCCACATGCATCGAGAATAGTCCAATACTTGGTAGAAGGAATGAAGCTACCCTATAAAAATCATCGAATGTAAATCGGTCAAGTGGTTGCAGAGATATAAGCCTCGCAAAAGCGTAACCACGGCCGGCCGGCCGCTCATACTCAGAAATTTCCGTTAATCTACGAAAGACTACGCTTGCTTCGCTCGCTACGTAATAATTTCTTCAGACTAACAATGCCTCAGCCATATTGGCACGCTACTGGCTGAAAATAAGTTGCTTAAAAAGACCCACTGAATCGCCACGATTTTAAGTGCATGTCATCTCTATGTATATAAGATCTCTATGCGCGCAATGGTGTTTGAACAAAAATTCAAATGTCGTAATTTTATCGTCGTTTTCTCAGACTGTTCAGTTTGATTTCGTGATTGGCTAGTCAAGTCATCTAGAACTGGGCCGTCATTTGAACATGTCCGTTCAAATCAAGGTTTAAATGCCCCGATTTAATTTGTTGGAGCCGCATGAATTGGATGAGCTATTTTCATCGCGCAGGGCTCAGGGCACTAAAAAGGTGATTAAATCAGCAGAAGACGTCTTCATTGAGTTCTTACAAGTAAAAGGCATATCTGTTGAAAGCTGCATGCACAGTAACGATGTCCTGGACAACGCTGTGAAGGAGTTCTTCATTACTGTAAAACGCAAGGACGGCGAACGCTACAAATCGAAGAGTCTCCACACTCTCAAGTACGGCGTGAAACAGAAAACAGAAACAGAAAACAGAAAACAACTAAGTGTGTGCCGTAGACATGTGACGTGGCTATGATTGTATATCCAATACATTCAATTGTACCATGATATTTGTGTTTGGATATTTTTTTATTACGGGATGAATGAGTAGGTACCTACTAAGTAAAGATTCCGAGAGTTGGCCATGTAATAAAACGAATACTGCATGGGGGAGCGGGCAATAGCAAAAATATTGCCCTCTGTAACGTCACTGTCGCCCTCGGGTGAAGACCTCCACAAGTGCTATTGCCCTCGGCTTCGCCTCGGGCAATAGCACTTGTTTCGGTCTTCACCCTCGGGCGACAGTGACGTCACATCGGGCAATATTTTTTGCTATTGCCCGCTCCCCCATGCAGTATTCGTATAGTATCTTAGCTCTGTTACCGAGTGATATCTCACAGTTGCTGGAATACGCCCAGCATAGGACCGGAATGGATGCGATGCAATATATATGTTACGGGCCAAGTGCGAAGGCTAGTCCGTTTGCGAACGGACTAGTCAATTCGCGAATGGACTAGGCCGTTTGCGAATGGCGGTCCGTTTGCAAACGGACTAGTCCGTTTGCGAATGGCCGGCCATTCGCGAATGGCCTAGGCCGTTTGCGAACGGACGGGTTTGTGGCGTTGCACTTAGCCGCCGGAAGCATGGATCCTCGGATTGGGGTACGATTCCGAATGAATGGGGGACCGCTGGTCGATGCAGGGGCGTCGCCGACGGGGGGGGGGGGGGGTCGGAGGGGTCCGGACCCCCCCCCACACACACACACACTCTTGAAAATGTACCGGTCCGACGCCCCCCCCCTCCCCCCCCCCCACACACACACTTTTGGCCACGAAAATCGATCAAGAATAAAATAAAATATTTTAAAAACGATTGTGGTGCATTCTCAAAATAAAATTGTCTAAATCCGAGGAGTTTTCAGTATTTGGTGGGGATTACTTTGACTGACCGTCCGACCAGATCCCCTAGTTGAAAATCCGTGGCGACGCCACTGCGTCTATATGTTTAGTTTGTTCTCCGGAGCAGATCTGCGAGCTGGCGCAACTCTGGGTTAAGGTCTCCACACACCCAGACCATTCGGGATGCGACTTTCCGCTGAACCCTGCACAACGCGGAAATTATAGCAACGTGTTGCCGCTGGCCAGGCTTCGGCCACCGATCTGGATCTGGGGAGGTCAAATATCCCCGTGACCTTCGAACAGCGGAGAGTCGCGTGGTGTGCGGAGACCATTAGTACCGTGCTCCGGGCTCCCCGCTGATGACCCGACCTGACCTTGGTCGAGTTTGTGGCGCTCGATTCATTCTGCTCTGGTGTGGTGTACCGGGACGGTGCGGCTTGTGTGTAGTGAGTGCGGTGCGGTGAGTGTTCGAAAAAAACTGTTGTGTTGCATTGCATTTAACAATACGCGCACTGCAGGGTTGCTTTCAACCCCCCCCCCCTGTGGTTTTTCACACAGAATACAGAATTTGTATTGCTGGATATTTCGCACTTGGCCTGACTTCGCACTTGGACTGGGAGCATAAACGCCCGTCCATTCGCAAACGGCCTAGGCCAACTGCAATAAAGCACATGGACTAGTCCATTCGCAAACGGCCTAGTCCAAGTGCGTTATCGCACTTGGAATGGCCTAGTCCAAGTGCGATAACGCACTTGGACTAGGCCGTTTGCGAATGGACTAGTCCATGTGCGTTATTGCAGTTGGCCTAGGCCGTTTGCGAATGGACGGGCGTTTATGCTCCCAGTCCAAGTGCGAAGTCAGGCCAAGTGCGAAATATCCAGCAAAGTGACGTCAACTTGGCAAGTCAACTTCGTATGTGCAAAGTCCCGTGTGAAATGATGCGTGCAAAGTATTGGTAACTCAACCGGCGTCACTTAACCTGGCCTGGTGACCTGACCTTAGGTCATCTGGAGTCAGCATTTTCACACAATGTGCGCAGAATATGGGAGAAAAGGTATACAAAATTTGGCTTTGCTGCGCGCCGCCGTTTTCTCGTGATCTGTGAAAAACCACAGGGGGGTTGAAAGCACCCCCCCCCTCCAGTGCGCGTATTGTTAAATGCAATGCAACACAACAGTTTTTCGATCACTCACCACACCGCACTCACCACACACAAGCCGCACCACACCAGAGGTACACCACACCAGAGCAGAATGAATCGAGCGCCACAAACTCGACCAAGGTCAGGTCGGGTCATCAGCGGGGAGCCCGGAGCACGGTACTAATGGTCTCCGCACACCACGCGACTCTCCGCTGTTCGAAGGTCACGGGGATATTTGACCTCCCCAGATCCAGATCGGTGGCCGAAGCCTGGCCAGCGGCAACACGTTGCTATAATTTCCGCGTTGTGCAAGGTTCAGCGGAAAGTCGCATCCCGAATGGACCACGTGTGTGACTGTGAAGACCTTAACCCAGAGTTGCGCCAGCTCGCAGATCTGCTCCGGAGAACAAACTAAACATATAGACGCAGTGGCGTCGCCACGGATTTTCGACTAGGGGATCTGGTCGGACGGTCAGTCAAAGTAATCCCCACTAAATACTGAAAACTGCTCGGATTTAGACAATTTTATTTTGAGAATGCACCAAAATCGTTTTTAAAATATTTTATTTTATTCTTGATCGATTTTCGTGGCCAAAAGTGTGTGTGTGTGGGGGGGAGGGGGGGCGTCGGACCGGCATATTTTCAAGAATGTGTGTGTGTGGGGGGGGGGGGGGGGGGGTCCGGACCCCTCCGACCCCCCCCCCCGTCGGCGACGCCCCTGCATCGACCAGCGGTCCCCCATTCATTCGGAATCGTACCCCAATCCGAGGATCCATGCTTCCGGCGGCTAAGTGCAACGCCACAAACCCGTCCGTTCGCAAACGGCCTAGGCCATTTGTCGCGACCTCAAATAGCTGACGGAGGTGACGAATAGTTAGCACGAGAAAATTTGATTTGAAAAAAAATAACTATTTACATGTGATAGAGAAACGAAAAAATAGGGCTGAAAGTGGACTTGAATTGATTTGCTTTATTTGATTTGACTGTGATCTGATCGAAAATCCAAGAAATATCTATTGTTTTGCAGTTCTTGTTTAATTCAATATTGATACATTGTATAGCGAAACGAACGAAACGAGCGAAACCATCGCCGAAGAAACGAAACGAAACGGAGTGGCGTGCAACGTTTGGTAAGCGGAGCCTTTTAAATTTATTTCATAGATCAGTGTAGAGTTGTCGTTATTGTATGATAATAGGTATGTAAGTGCTTTCCAGCAGAATGTTTACCTTGGCACGTCAAACCCGAAATTAAGTGGTGTTTTGTTGCTGTTGTTGTTTCAGAAACCGATTGGAATACACCAAACACATCGCGTTTCATATAACACTCTTCTTCGGCGGCGACAGTTTCAAACGTTCACAAACAACAGTAGCTTAAACACGGACAGTTCTTCAGCCACTGCATTGCCTTATTTCCCAAAACACGTTGCATTCTCAATATGTCTGAAACCACGGATCAGGTCAAACAAAAACGCAAATATGCGCTAGCAAAGCTCACACGAGTAAGGCGTCGGGCACTAGTAATGATTAATGCCAAGGGGAGCAGGACAGATGTACTAAAACTGATGCCTGAGTTAGATGAAGCGTTTCTAAATGTGGAGATTCTCTCTGACAAGTATATTGAGACACTTGAAGACGCTGATGCTCTGGAAAAGGCCCAAAGATATAAACAAGAGGCAGAGCGACAATATGAAGAGACGATGATTCAAGTGCAACAATATTTATCGGAACGAAAGGACGAACCAGAGTCTGTAGCTGGCGGTTCACAATGTTCTAAAACGTCTCAATTGTCTTCCGCTTCAAGGAAGGCCGAAGTTACTTTGAAAATGAAGGAGTTTGAATTGGAGCAACTGAAAAGAAGACATGAACGAGAGAGACAGGAAGAAGAGATGAAGAGAGCAAACCAGCTGGAAGATGCAAAGGAAGCGCGAGCAGCGGCTGAACTCGAGGCGAAACTCACCTTGGCTGCAGAATCTGAACTCACCTGGGAGCGCCGACATGATTTTATTGAGGAAAAGACTGCCGATGAAGAAGGCAATGATGGCCGTGGCGTTGAAGAGTTTGGAAAGGTCAATCCAGCCTCTAGAGTTTCCCTTTCCCATTCTGACGCAGCCCAACAGTCGTTGATGGGAGAACCGGAGGCTCCGCGACCCAGCTACACAGACAACTTCTTGAGAAACCTTCCCCGACTGGAGCTGACGAAGTTTAGTGGTGCTCCAGGAGAATGGCCGAAATGGTTCTCTTTGTTTCAAACCCTGGTCGGAAATCAGCCTCATCTATCGGAGACAGAGAAAATGGCACACTTGCAGGGTGCAGTAGTCGGTTCGGCTCAGACAACTATAGCTGGTATGTTATATGATGGCCGACTGTACAAAGCAGCTTTGAAGGCTTTGGAAAATCGGTATGGAAGACAAGAAGACGTAGTTCACGCAAACATGACAGCTATATTCAAGTGCCCATCGCCAAGATATCTTGATGCCGAGTCTATGGATCAGTTCCATGCAGTTCTACATTCGGCTGTTTCTGTCCTGCAGAACATGGGGTATGATGATGACTTGCGAAGTTCAGAAAATCTCCGCAGTGTGGTCAAGAAGCTACCCCTGGAGTTGAAGAAAGATTGGGGACAACACGTTTTGAATTTGGAACCTGTAAGACCGACCCTGGTGGATCTTGATATGTGGCTACAGCGGCAAGTGAGAGTGGCCATTAATTTTGAAACAGTATCGACTGAAGACAACAGAGCGATGAAAGCAAGGAAATCTGGGGCTGAAACGACGTCAACAAGAAGAACTGCCTTTAACACGGACGTCGTTAGCTATAGCGTATGCATATCTTGTGGAGAGCAGCATAGACTGGACTCGTGCCCCCTGTTTCTGGAGAAAGGTGTTGACAGCAGAGCGGAGTTCGTGATGTCATCAAACACATGTTTTTATTGTCTTAAAACAGGACACAAGTCAAGACATTGCAGACTGGCAAGACCGTGCGGAATTGATGGCTGTAGGGTTCGCCATCACCGCCTGCTCCACGGTAGCCGAAGACTGAGCCGTCCTACGTTAGTCGGTGAGACAAACAATGACAATAATCCTGGTGAAGATGACACGACTCGCGTCATCGCAGCCGCGTGCAAAACAGATCGGCATGCCACTACTCTGTTGCAAGTTGTTCGAGTCAGAATCATGGGTGAACAAGGACGGACAAGGACGGTTAATGCTTTGCTTGACCCAGGTGCTCAGACGTCCCTGTGTTGCGCCGAGGTTCTACGGGATCTAAATATAACAGGAGATACTCAGGGCATTCAACTCCAGACGGTCAGGGGATGCGGGACAACACAGAGCTCCCAGCGGGTGAAGTTAACCCTTTTACCCATTGAAGGGCCATATAACGACCCCATACTCGTTTCCGAAGTGTTTTCCGTTCCTGATCTGCACCTGAAGACCCCTTATCTTGAACAGCGAATGCAAGACTGGGAACATCTAAAAGGTCTCAACATAGCAGGCTACAATGGCCAGAGAGTCGAGCTTCTCTTGGGGGCCAACACTATTGAAGCAGTGTTACAACGAGAGGCCAGAGTGGGCAAGCCCGGAGAACCAGTCGCCGTAAAAACAGCATTTGGCTGGGCGTTAACTGGATCGATCAATAGCATCGTACCGGAACACATGAAGCAAGTGTTTTGCATTTATCAGACAGAAACAAACGAAGCAATGCATGACCTGCAAATGTGGTGGAGCACTGAGTCCTTTGGGACAAAGTATGAAGACAAATATTCGTTGTCTGTCGAAGACAGAAGGGCAATGCAGATTTTGACAGAGAAAACCAGGAAAGTAGGAAATCATTACGAAGTGGGACTTTTATGGAAATCAGATGAGGTCCGAATGCCGAACAATTACAATGCAGCCTTTCGTCGCTTGCTGTCCACCGAAAGGAGCCTTAATAGGCAACCGGAGAAAGCAGAGGCATACAAAGAGGTGCTGATGGGGTATGTGCGCAAGGGTCATGCCCGCAAGTTAACAAATGAAGAAATGCTGGATAAAACTCCCAAAACTTGGTTCTTACCCCACCATGGGGTTTCCAACCCCAATAAAGCGAAGATACGCGTTGTTTTTGACGCAGCCGCAAGTTACAAAGGAACCTCCCTGAATGAGCAGTTGCTAACTGGTCCCGACCTCTTGCAGAATCTGGTGGGGATTCTCGTGCGATTCCGGGAAGAAAGGGTCGCCTTAATGGCGGATATAACGGAAATGTTTCATCAAGTTAGGGTGCGTGAGGAAGATCAGCCTGCCCTCACATTTTTATGGAGAGACTGCGACGCATCCAAGCCACCTGACCAATACCGAATGCTTGTGACGGTATTCGGTGCTCGATGTAGCCCAGCTGCGGCGAGCTACGTTCTTGGAAGAACAGCTGACGACCACCAGACAGATTCTCCAACCAGTGTGAGAGCAGCCGCAGCTGTGCGCAGCAGTTTCTACATGGATGATTTCCTTCATTCCGAAAAGACTGTCGATGAAGCAAAAGATACGCAAGAGAATGTAACGAAGATTGTTAGCGGAGGGGGATTTGTTTTAACCAAGTGGGTGAGCAGTCACCCCGAGACTCTTGACGACTCACCGGCTGCCACTGCTAATCCATCTACTGTAGACCTCTCACGTCATCAGCAGGGCTGCGAAAGAGCGTTAGGCTGCGTTTGGTCTCCCCAAGCCGATACCATTGGGGTGAAGCATCGTGATAAAGAGGTCCCTGAGACAAAGCGGGGAGTTCTTCGGCGAGTATCGATGATTTTTGACCCCCTCGGGATTGTCGCGCCTTTCACAATTCGTGCCAAAGTGCTCGTTCAGCGCCTATGGTCCCTGAAATACGGATGGGATGACATGCTACGCGATACAGAACTTCATGACTTTCGCTCTTGGCTGACAGAGCTCCCCTGCCTCGAAAGTATAGCAATTCCTCGTTGCTACAAGACCGGTCTGTCTCAAGAACCTGAAGAATATGAACTTCATGTATTCTGCGATGCTTCAGAGGCAGCATTCGGTGCCGTGGCATATGTCAGAATGACGGCTGAGGATGCCGAAGGAGAGCGTGAAGTGGTGTGCTCCTTCATAATGGCAAAGACGAGATTGGCACCACTGAAGCAGTTAACCATAGCTCGACTGGAGCTGCAAGCGGCAGTCCTCGCCTGCCGACTAGCCGAATCCATCAAACAGTCGATGAATTACAGATTCTCTCGCTGTTATTATTGGACTGACAGCAAAATCGTGCTCGCCTATATCCAGCAAGAGAGCCGGCGTTTCCATACGTTCACGGCAAACCGTGTGTCGGAAATACACGGTTCATCGAGCCCAGATGATTGGCATCACATCCCCGGTGAACTGAATCCTGCGGACGCCTGCTCACGCGGCGTCTCGGGGGCCGCACTCTGTGACCTGTCTTCATGGTGGAACGGTCCCGATTTTCTTCGGAAAATACCGATGACTTGGCCGGGACAGAACAAGATGCTGCCAGATCTTGATGCAGCTGATCCTGAATTAAGGAGTCCGCTACTTGTCTTGAGCACTCAGCTTTTTCAGCCGGTGTTGCCAGATCCTGCGCGATTTTCTTCATGGCGAAAATATAAGAGGATAGTGGCATGGGTCAACAGGTTCATGACAAACCTGAAGGCAACGGTAACGAAGAGTGAACGAGTTCACACTCCTCTGACTGGTCTGGAGATCCAGCGTGCGAACGACACAATATTGATTGAAGCACAGAGACAATGTTTCGCAGAAGATATTGAGATGGTGCAGGCCACTGGTTCGGTGAGCTCCTCAAGCCGGCTGGCTGATTTATCGCCATTTCTAGACGATGTAGGTGTTCTCCGAGCCGGAGGGCGTCTGTCCAACGCCCCAGTTCCTGAGGCGACTCGCCATCCAGCTATCTTGAGCAACGATGGCGAGGTTACGCGGCTGATCATTTACGATGCACATCAGCGAGTGCTGCATGCCGGAGTCGATCACACGCTGAGTGAACTTCGTCAGCAATACTGGATACCGAAAGCCAGGTCTACTGTCAAAAGAATATTGCACGCATGTGCGTTTTGTCGCAACCGTAGAGCACGACCGATTCAGCCCAAGATGTCAGACCTTCCGCGTCATAGATTTGACACTACTCGCCCGTTTCGCCGCGTAGGTCTTGACTTCTTGGGCCCATTGCCAGTTAAAAGGTTCCGCAAGACTGAGAAGCGTTGGGTTCTCCTGATAACTTGCTTGAGCACGAGAGCTCTCCACTTGGAGATAGTGGAGTCAATGGACACAGATAGCTTCTTGATGGGTCTTCGACGCTTCTTTGGTCGCAGGGGCAAGCCATCAGTCATCTACTCAGACAATGGGACCAATATTGTTGCAGGCGAGAAGGAGCTGAGGAGCCTTATTCGAGATTGGAACCAGTCGCAGATCTTGGACTGGCTGAGTCAAGACCATATTGAATGGCACTTCAACCCTCCAACCGCTAGCCACATGGGTGGCGTGTGGGAACGTCTGGTAGCTTCTGTGAAGCGATCTCTTCGTGTCGTCCTAGGAAATCAGATCGTCTCCAATGAAGTACTTAGCACTGTGCTAGTAGAAGTGGAAAGCGTTCTGAATAGCCGGCCGATCACATATTGTAGTGGTGACGCAAACGATCCTGAGCCTCTCACTCCACGTCACTTCCTACTCGGCTATCCAGAAGTGTTTCTTCCACCAGGAATGTTCGATGATTCGGCACTGCTGAGTAGAAAGAGATGGCGACATTCGCAAGTGCTCGCTAACCACTTCTGGCGAAGGTGGAGAAAGGAGTACCTCCCGACCTTGATGCGCCGTGAGAAGTGGACTCAAGCATCCGAGAATCTTCGGGAGGGGGACGTGGTCTTGATGGTAGATGATGAAACTCCACGCGGCTACTGGCCACTTGCGGCCGTCACCCGAGCCTTTACAGGCGAAGATGGTTATGTCCGCTCTGTAGAGCTGAAAACCGGAAGCGGTTCGACATACAGACGACCAGCAAATAAAGTGTGCCTTCTGGAAAAATCTGAGTGATTTGACTCGTTAGCTCATACATACATCAGCCACAAGTGAGCAGCTTGCATGACGTTAGGCAGAGGTTGATGCAACCTGTTAACTTCATACGCCCGCACTGTACATAAACACTATTCATCATTAATCATTACAAGTCACATAAATCGATACATCACAGCATGACAGTTCCGGCTTCCTGCAACCGTCTTTGGAGCCGTCGGACTGGAGGTCAAGAGGAGGACATCAGATGATTTGCCCAGCATCACGAGGCGACCAGGCAGTGGCAGCTGGCAGGCCGCTGCCATCCAGCTAGCGTTCCCTTCTCTCCAACCAAGAACTGCACCTGACCCGGGACTGAAGACAAGGACACACTGGTCGCGAGCCTGGCCAATGTCATGTTCCTGCTCAAGCGGACCACTGGCGGGGGAGGGTGTCGCGACCTCAAATAGCTGACGGAGGTGACGAATAGTTAGCACGAGAAAATTTGATTTGAAAAAAAAAATAACTATTTACATGTGATAGAGAAACGAAAAAATAGGGCTGAAAGTGGACTTGAATTGATTTGCTTTATTTGATTTGACTGTGATCTGATCGAAAATCCAAGAAATATCTATTGTTTTGCAGTTCTTGTTTAATTCAATATTGATACATTGTATAGCGAAACGAACGAAACGAGCGAAACCATCGCCGAAGAAACGAAACGAAACGGAGTGGCGTGCAACGTTTGGTAAGCGGAGCCTTTTAAATTTATTTCATAGATCAGTGTAGAGTTGTCGTTATTGTATGATAATAGGTATGTAAGTGCTTTCCAGCAGAATGTTTACCTTGGCACGTCAAACCCGAAATTAAGTGGTGTTTTGTTGCTGTTGTTGTTTCAGAAACCGATTGGAATACACCAAACACATCGCGTTTCATATAACACTCTTCTTCGGCGGCGACACCATTCGCGAATGGCCGGCCATTCGCAAACGGACTAGCCCGTTTGCGAACGGACCGCCATTCGCAAACGGCCTAGTCCATTCGCGAATGGACTAGTCCGTTCGCAAACGGACTAGCCTTCGCACTTGGCCCGTAACATATATATATATATATATATATATATATTTTTAGGTAGGGATTAACGTTGCAAATGTGGAGTCTTATTGTGACTCAGTGGCGTATCCAGGGGGGAGGCCAAGAGGCCATGGCCTCCCCCTTTGGCACCAAACATGCAAGTGGGCCCTTTGGGTCACTTGAGTGCAGTGACGTACCCAAGGGGGGCCATGGGGACCCTGAGGGGCGCCCTGGTTACCTGAGGGTCCCCCTGGTCACCTGAGGGTCCCTGGCTAGCTGAGGGGCCCCTGGTTACCTGAGTGGCCCCTGGTTATCTGAGGGGCCCATGGTTATCTGAGGGGCCCCTGGTTATCTGAGGGGACCCTGGTTACCTGATTGGTCCCTGGTTATCTGAACGACTCCTGGTTACCTGAGGGACCCCTGGCTACGGGGCCCCTGTTAACCTGAGTGGCCCTTGTTATCTGAGGGGCCCATGGTTACCTGAGGGGCCCCTGGTTTCCTGAGGGGCCCCTGGTTTCCTGAGGGGCCCCTGGTTTCCTGAGGGGCCCTGCCTACCTGAGGGGCCCCTGATTACCTAAGGGGCTCGTGATTGCCTGAGAGCCCCTGATTTTCTGAGAGGCCCCTGGTTACCAGTGGGGCCTCTTGGTATATGAGGGACCCCTGATTATCTGAGGGCCCCTGGTTACCTGAGGGGCCCCTAGTTATCTAAAGGGCCCCTAGCTACCTGAGGGGCCCCTAGTTATCTAAAGGGCCCCTAGCTACCTGAGGGGCCCCTGATCCCCTGGGTAACCCATGGCCAGTGGTCTGAAGAAACCCTGGTCACCTGAAGGGCCCATGTTTACCTGGGGAGTGTACCTGGTTATATGAAGGGCCCCTGCAGTCACATTAAGGCCCTTAGTTACCCGTGGAGCCCCTGGTATAACCGTCCCCTGGTTATCAAAGGGTTCCCTGGTCACCTGGTGGGCCCCGGTCAATTGAAAGACCCCTGGGCAATTGAAAGGCCCTGGTCAATTGAAAGGCCCCTGGTCACCTGAGAGGCCCCTGATTACCTGAACGGCCCGTGATCACTTGGATTCAATGGTATGGCCAGGGGCGAGGGGGCACGTGTCCGTTTTAGGGTTTAGGGTCCCCTCGGGCCCGAGAGGACCTGCGGTGCCAATTGGCGGCAGAGGGCCCGCGCTGGCAACGCTTCAACTGGAAAGGAGACCACAGGGCTTGTGAGAACACCCCATGGGCTCTTTCTTCTGTAGCCACACTTATCTCCAGAGGGGCCTCACGCCAGGTTCTGAGGGACCTTGCCGGCCTCTGAGGGTCCTTGAAGGCTAATGAGAGATCAGCTGTAAGGGTCTCATACCCGTTTGCTATGGCCCCACGGCCCACACCGGTGTTTCTGAGGGCCCTCACAACGGCGCCTGCGAGGGCCTCCACTGCCACCTCTAAGGGCCCCACACCAGTGCCTTTTAAGGGCCTACTTCGGCGGCTCTGAGAGCCCCCACACCGGCGCCTCCGAGGGCCCTATGCAGCGCATCTGACGGTCACTTACAAGCGACTCTGAGGGCCTCTTACCGACCTCTGAGGGCCCCTTGCCGGCCTATGAAGGGCCACCAGTAACTTTCAGGGCCCCGGGCCCCCGACACGCCTAAGTGATGGCCCCCACCAGTGTCTCTAAGCCCTAAGGCCCTCACAACGGCGCCTGTGAGGACCCTACACCAGCGCATCTGATAGCCTTTTACCGACACCTCTGAGGGACTAACACAGGTGACTCTGAGGCGCTCGCTCGCTTCACTTCCTCATAAAATACCGTGCATTTTATGCATACTTCTCAAGCAAGAAATGATATTTTTACCTGCCAATTTTGCACATTTTCTCGGACTTAGACAGACAGACAGACAGACGGACAGAGGGGCCCGTCTGCAAGGGGGGACCGGACCCACTGTGTCCAATCCCCTCATCGAAAGATTCTGGATACGCCCCTGCCTGGGTTGACAGCGGCATCCGGGTGACCCGTGGGCCCCTTTGAGAGCAGGCGGCCCCCTCCTGGGCGAAATCCTGGGTACGTACTACGTGCCTGCTTGAGTGTCCCAAGAGAAACGATCTTCAGAGCCTCATCCAAAGTACTGGCCCAAGCATAACTAAAGTCAAACTGCGTCAAACTATCTTAAAATGCCATTTGATGGCGCTCATAGGCCCTCAGAGGCCAAGGCCGAGCCCCCAGAGGCTAGCGTGGGCCCTCAGAGGTCGCTTTGGCGGCCATAAGGAAGCTTATACTCGAGCGTGGGATCCTTTGAGGCTGGTGTAGAGCCCTAAGGAGTCAGCGCCCAGCCCTCTAAGGCCAGCGTGGGACCCTCTAAGGCCATTGTGGGGTCTTCTAAGGCCAATGTGGGCCTTCTAAGGCCAGTGTGAGGCCTTGTAAGGCCAGTGTGGGCCCTCTATGTCCAGCATGGGGCCGTCTATGTCCAGCGTGGGGTCTTTTAAGCCCAGCGACATGGGGCTTTCTTAGGTCAGATTGAGGCCCATTGGCCACCGAGACTAGCTTGGGGCCCTCTGAAGACAATGTGGAGCCCTTTTAGGCCAGTGTTGGGCAGGCACTCTGTGACCAGCGTGAACCATCTGAGGCCAGCGTGGGGCCATCTGTCATCTGACTCCAGACTTCAGAGACTGGTGCTGGGCCCTCAGAAGCCAGCGCGGGCCTTCATAGGCTGGCGTCGGGCCATTAGAGGCCACCTCGAGGGCCTCGGCAACCACTTTTCAGATCTTATGCATGTTTGGGCCCCTTGAGGTAGGAGTGGCCCTTATAAAGGCCGGCGTGGGACCCTCAGGGGGCATCATGGGCTTCTAGAGACCGACGTGGGTTCGAGAGCGGCATAGGGTCCTCAGACTGACTCGAAGACTCCGAAGAGCCGGCGGGGGAGGGGTTATGAGGTCAGCCACAGCATGGGTCTACTGAGGCCATTATGGGGCCCGCAGGCCAGCGTGGTTCACTCTGTTGCCGGTGTTGGGCTTTCAGAGGCCAGAATGAGCCTTCAGAGGCCGGAATGAGGCCAATGTGGGCGACATAGAGCCATCAGAGCAGTGGCGCGGGAACTTCTTCCAGACTGGGGGGGCTGAACCATAATAGAAATCAACCTAGGGTACCCCCAAATCTAGTTTTCTCACCGGTTTTAGGCCACTTATTTTTCAGACCTTGGCCTTTTCAACAAAAAAAAAAAAACGAAAATATTTTCAAAAATGAGGTATTCCGTCTCAGCTGAGTGAAGAAACTATCGTTTTGGCAACCTGGAGTAAAGGTTTTAATCTGCCAAATGAGTTGCCGAGCCAGTGAAATAGGTGGATTTTTCACATACATGCTTTCTTCCTTTGTGACCCACAACCCCTAATTTGGGGAGGACAAGCTGCCCAACGGTTCGTGGCCTCATGAAACGTTGTGGGGCACCGCCCCCACGGCCGCAGAGTTGTGGAGGCAAGCTTCCCCCACTGCCCCCTCCCCCAGTTCCCGCGCCTATGTATGACTCTATGAAATTATGTTGGTAGATTTCCGATTTCGATTCCTCCAGCTGGGAAGGGGGGGGCTCAAATACATTACGAGCCTCCCCAGCCGAAAAGCTGGGGGGGCTCAGCCCCCCCTAGCCCCCCCCCCCGGTTCCCGCGCCACTGCATCAGAGTCTAGATCAGAGCTCAACCCGAGTCGGGCCCTGCTAAAGTTAAGGGTATCAGCCCTCAACCAGCGCAAGACACTAAGAGAATTGACATCTGCCCTTTGAAAAATGTTACAATCGTAAAAAAAATGACGAAACATTTTGTTTTTGATAATCTTTAGTGGCCCCGGCACCGACTTAAGGGAAAAAAACTGTATGCCTACTGCTGAAATAAATTGTACACTTCATACAGAGCTATCGATGTTGATGGCTTTTTCACGTTTTTTTCTTTTTTAGATTGCCGAATGTGCCTAAAAAGGCTCCCTGACATGGTAAAAGTGGCAAAGAACCGCACCTGGGCGTGGGTTAAGTGCGTCACTACTGGGGCCCCTAAGGTAAGGGTGGGGCCCCTTGAGCAGGTTTGGCCTCCCCCTTTTCAAGATCCTGGATACGCCACTGTTGTGACTTGTTCTGTGTCTGTGTGATCGAGTTACTCATTCCTGTTTCTTTTAATCGACTTGGTTTTAAAAGTCAGGTCACAACTCATTTTTGACTGTTTGAAAATATATTTAGCATGCCTGTGTAGAATGGGGGATGCTCTGTAACAAAAATATAATGAAATATGTGGATCTTACTCACTTGTTGGAACAATGCCGGAACCATGGTAGCTCCTCAGCCCTCATACGTTCAAACAGACAAAAATCAATTTGATTGAAACCTTGAACCATCGGTCAAGGAGAAAACGCAACGATCTAACGTATCTGCACATCTACGAATTCTGTGCTAAATGCTGCCCTAACACCCCTGCAGAAAGACATGCACATTGACCAAATGCTCTCTGCTCTGTATTGCTATGTCACATGGCGTAGCGCCGTTCCTTGGAAATTGTGCAACGATGAATGACCAATGCTGCTAGTTTTCTACCTAGCCTCGCATGCAAGACGTTACATTTGAAGAATATTCAACTTTATCTGGGCCATCAGGTAACCACGCCCGTTCCTGGAATCTCCCCATTTGGCATAGATGTAAATCACAGAGCATTGTTAAATTTTCCTCCTAGTGAACATGGTGGTTGAAAATGGTTTTATTTTAGCTTTGGCTAATGGCTTTAGCTAGAATCATTATCATCATTTTATCAAGGAGCTCATCATATCATCGTTTTTTCGCTCCGCCTAGACATTGGCATTACGGTGCAAGGTGACCCGTATTGGCTGTATCGAAGTGTGAAACATCATTATTAAAAAAAACACACACATTCATGCAGCTGCTGATAAAAGACGGCGCCT